TCCTGGGCTCCGGCGATCCTTCCGCCTCAGCCTTCCAAGTAGCCGGAACTACAGGCGCGCGCTACCACGCCCGGCTAGTTTTTGATTTATTATAGAGATGAGATCTTGCCAAGTTGCCCAGGCGGGGTCTTGAACCCGCGGGGCTCAGGCAATCCACTCACCTCAGCCTCCCAAAGGCGCGGGATGACAGGCTGAGCCACCGAGCCCGGCTTCAGTGTTTATTTTCTATATGTCACTGTTACATGTATTAAATCTCAAAGTAAAAGGTGAATGCAGTTAAAAACCAAAGGTTTATTTTCTTGATTTTCTCAGTTTGATATATACTATTGCCTACTTAGAAAACCGCTTACTAGAAAACCAAATGACTAGAAAAAGTATTTAAATTTTCTTCTGGTATTTGAACATTGTTAATATTATCCTCAGCATTTGAATTATTTAATGGACTCGGCAGAAAAAAGCATAATCTTTAACTTTCTTCTCTGAGTGAAGTCTATTTAGAAGACTGCTCCCCTAAGTGTGCCGAGAGCTCATGTAAGAATAGGCATTTTTTAATATCCCAGCATTTAAGCCCATACAGAAGTAAATCCTAAACTCGAAATGCCCTTCTTATAGTTGGGAAAGAAGGGCATTTAAAGAGACATTTGGTGAGCCAGGCACAGTGACTCACATCTGTAAACCCAGCACTTTGGGAGGCAGAGGCGACAGAATTGCCTGAGTTCAGGGTTTTGAGACTAGCCTAGGCAACTCGGCGAGATCTTGTCTCTACAATAAATGAAAAAATTAGCCGGGCATGGCGGCACGTGCCTGTGTTTCCAGCTACTTGGAAGGCTGAGGTGGAAGGATCGCCTGAGCCAAGCAAGTCGAGGCTGCGGTGGCCGTGAGCATGCCACTGCACTCCAACCTGGGCAAGAGTGAGACTCCGACTCAAAAAAAAAAGAGTCATTTGGTGAAGCTGCTTATAGTTGTTCAGAGAGCAGGCTGTCGGGTCTGTTCCTGGCCTTGTATCTTACTGGCTATGTGACCTTGAGCAAATTATTTCACCTTTTGGATTTCAGTTGCCTCAAAATGGTAGCAGTATTTACCTCATGGATTTGTGAGGATTCGTTTTGTAAAAGCACTTCAGAGCAGTGTCTGGCATACTGTGTGCACTTGACATCTATTATTCAAATTGCCAAAGACGTTTTGCTTAAACTCAATATCACCACTGATTTAAAATATTATAAATAATGATTTCAGATCAAGTTTTCCGATCAGAAACAGTATTCCCTATTTAAGATATAACGTCTAGGCCGGGCTCGGTGGCTCAGCCTGTAATCCGCGCTTTGGGAGACCGAGGTGAATGGATTGCCTGAGCCTGAGGGTTCAAGACCCGCCTGGGCAACTTGGCGAGACCTCATCTCTACAATAAATCAAAAAGTTAGCCGGGCATGGTAGCGCTCGCCTGTAGTTCCAGCCCCTTGGAAGGCTGAGGCGGAAGGATCGCCAGAGCCCAGCAGGTGGAGGCTGCGGTGGCCGGGAGCGGCCGCTGCACTCCAGTCTGGGCGACGGAGTGAGACACCAACTCAAAATAAAATAAAATATAATAAAGCAAAATAAAAAGAAAGTGTAAGTTCAATTCAAATAGTGCAATTTATCATTTCCATAAAATGAGAGAGCTGGTTAACACAGACAAATACATTTTACAAAATGGAGCTAACAGGGTCACTGAAACAGTGATATGCGTGTAGGGCAAACAACCTCACACACAGAAAAGGCCACTTTCCCCCCATCCCCCCCTTTTTTGAGTTGGAGCCTTACTGTGTTTCCCAGGCTGGAGTGCAGTAGCACGCTCACGGTCACCCCAGCTTCGGCTTGCTGAGTTCAGGTGATCCTTCCGCCTCAGTCTTCCAAGTAGCCGGAACTACAGGTGCGCAATACCACGCCCAGCTAATTTTTTGTGATTTATTGTAGAGATGAGGTTGCCCAGTCTGGTCTTGAACCCCCGGGCTCAGTCAATCCTCTCGCCTCGGCCTCCCAAAGTGCTGGGATTACAGGCTGCGCCACTGCGCCCAGCCCATACTTCCCTTCCACCGAAGAGATCATTCTGCTCCCAGAAAGCTTAGTTGTGAATATGCTTGAAATACAGTGAAAGCTTTACTAGATCACGAACCCAGGACACACACTTATAATTCGGCAGTCAACATTCTTGAAAGCAATGGCTCAACAATGATTCTAAGTGACCTACTGTGTCATGTAAAACATGAACTACACCTGATGGCAAATTACAACTAGTCTGTGTAAGTTGAATGCATGTCATCCTTTAATCATCAAGACAGTTCAGCTGTTTTTCCGAAGTATGTTTCAAACAGAGTTGGCATATAACCCGTATAACAATACTGCTGTGATTTTAGTGGTTTTATCTTTAAGAGTCCAACATGTATTATGTTCACAAAATAGCACTGTTTGTGAACGTCAACCAGTTTATTTATATTCCTTCACAAACACTCCATCCTAGTCATTCACACTAATCTACACCACTGAAAATAACCAAGGGTGATAACTCCCAGTCTCACCTCTTCGCCGAAGTTCTAATTGACTGAAAAAGCAAAGGACTACTCTGCTCTAGAAATCTGCAGGTCAAGTTCTCAACCCTTAAAACCCAACAAAAATGTTCCAGTGCAGTCACCGTAGCCATGTACTTGGGCTTTGTATTGACGGTATTGAACTTAAGAGTGCAACATGGCCATGTACATCACACGGTAAACTACCGCACATATCAAAAATAAAATGCAAAAGAACTTGAAGACATGTTGCAATTCTAATAGCACAGATTTAAAACCAAACACGTAGACATTACTCCTACATCTTTCTGTAATTAAGAGGTCATCGCCACATTTACAAGGTTTGCGGCAGTTATCTCTATCAGAGTGTGATTAATCAGAGTCCACTTACCGCCATCAACAAGGGTTCTATCTCATTGGATTATTTTTGCCTTTCCCCCAAAGAATCACTTGCTCTTGAAGTAATAGGCTTTTTAAGGCACAGTTTAACAGAAACCCTTCATATATCCACCTCAGAAATGGAAGCTCTCCACCCGGTTATAATAAATATACCTAAGTAATGTGTGCCTTATCAGATAGGCAAACATCTCTAACTTGAGGATAAAGCCACATTAGAAAACCAGTTCTTTGTTTGCTTATTCAAAGAGAAACATTTTGTAAAAAATACTAGAGAATTTGATTTATAAGAATAATCCAGAAGGTCCAACAGTATATAGCTCTGGAAAATAGGGAGTCCTGGGCGCCCAACCATCCAGGTTTCTGAGTAAGAATCATGAGGGAGGGGATTAGGGCACCTTAATGATTTTTAGAAATTTCCTTTCAAAATGCACAGACGTTTGGGAGGCTCAAACCTCAACCCCCAGTCAGATACCATCTTAAATTTTAGTTACTAACTTCAGAGAAACAGAACTTGGGGAGAGAGAAGAGGATGGAAAGAAGCCACCGATGGAAGTGGGAAAGTTTCAAGGAAAAGTTACTTTATGGACTTTATATTTTTGTTAGGATCAGCTTTTGATGTTCCCAGGAGGCTCTGCTTTAGAAATACACATCTTATTTTTTTGAATTAGGGTCTCACTGTGTCACTCAGGCTGGAGGGCAGTGGCATACTCACGGCTCACCACAGCCTTGACCGGCTAGGCTCAAGCTATCCTTCCTCCTCACCTCCCAAGTAGCTGGTACTATAGGCATGCACCACTATGCCCGGCTAATTTTTTTTTCAATTTTTTAGAGACCAGGTCTCACTATGTTGTCCAGGCTGGTCTCAAGTTCCTAGGCTCAAGCCATCCTCACTTTGGCTTCCCAAAGTGCTGGGATTACAGGCGTGAGCCAAAAATCCCCCGGCCTCAAAAACATATGTATATATTTTCTAATGCCCCACAAAGCATGCCTTCGGGTGCTAACCTAAGAATTCTCTATTTGGAATGATTTGGCATAGGGGTAGATTTCAGGCTCTTGATTTTCTGTTAGTCTGAGGTAAACAAGAGTGAAATGAGTTCACAGAAACAACACAGCTTGCTGCAATGCCTCCACCAGCCATTGTTTTCCCACTGACCCCGGAGGTGTCCGGGATGGCTCCTCAGCCCTGCAAAGTTTGTGGGACCAGGCAGAGCACACGAGGCACGTTATCACATACGAAAAGAAGACTCGGAGGTGAGAAATGGGACTGACAGGATGAAGCTCCACGGGGGAGCTCCTAGACTTACTGTTTACCATGGTCATGGAGCCAGAAAAAACGGACCCTAAATAAACATCTTAAATGTCACCCAACAATGGGCCATTTCACAGGGACCAAACGCCCAGAATCGTTCTTGTATCTTTTAGCCTGCAGTCGCTAATCATATATCTTTGGGACAACTTTCGGCCTCTGGTGTCCCCTCAGCGCTGGGGCCAGGTACTGAAAGGCCTCCAGAAACCCTGCAATTCGGGGGCATCCGTGTATCTCTTCAGGAATCGGCACCATTTTGGAATTTGGTCCCAAAGGTTCTAAAGAAGACTAATGCAGCCAAAAGAAAGGACTTCTCCATGCAAAGTGATCGTAGAAATGCATGTTGAGGTCAAGAACTTCATAAAAACTGTCATGCGGGGAAGCACGGCCGCAGCTATGGAAGCGTTTAGGCCAGTCTGGGGCTAACGTTATTCTCCAAAACTCCCATTTATACCCGTTGTAAAGTGGGGACAGTGCTTATTGCTTCTGGACCTGATAGCCCCCCACTGCTCCAGCTCCAGAGAAAATGATTTTTCTGAACTGGTAGCAAAGATTCCCAAGTTTACAAAAAGCCGTCACCAATGTATCGCTTTCTGATTAATTTCCAATTGCCACGTAGCTATGAACTAGTCTGCATGTCCTGGACACCAAGTACAGAAAAAGCTTAGAAAAGTCATTTTATCAAAGTTCTCAATGAGAAAAAAAGCATGAAAAAGTGCAAAATATATACAGTTCCTGGCAGTTCTCACACGGGATTTTTTTTTTTTTTTTTTACTACAGACCATAAAAGTTTACATTTGTATGATGAAAGTACAGTGGGTTTCATTACATTGTTAATATACAAGTTTTTGCTTCAAAGTGCTTACTTTATTTAAAAAAGAGAAGATCAAGAGGGCTGCAGGTGTGCTTGTGTTTGTGTGGTTTTTTTTTTTTTACAACAAATCCACGCCATGTGTCCCATCGCCTTCTTCCTCTTCTTGTAGTGCAACATGGTGCAGCAGCCTTGTGGCCAAGGGCTCCTTTCTGAGGGTGCTCCAGACACCTCGCCTACAGCAGCACTCGGGGGGTCCCGTTGGGGGTGGCGCCTTTTTTCTTCTGCAGCCGATTCTGCACCTTTCGAGATTTTACGACTTTCATTCTCACCTCAAAAACTTCATGGATGGCCTTCCGGAAGCAATGAAAGTTATAGTCAATAAGCCCTGGAGAAGAGAACAAAAATGTTTACAAATGCCACCTGGAAATAACCACCACCATTTCATGTCAGCCACGGTCAGGATAAGCAGGCAGGGCGTGGCGGAGGAGGGACCCTCACATAAGGGCCACGATGTCCACGGATGTCTACAGCTTCAGGGACTGTGGCCAAGTCTATAGAGGGAGATTTTTCCTGAGGCAAGCCCCAGAATATGTATTCCAAAGACATCTATGGGCCAAAGCATTTAAAGACCCGCTGAACTGAACACTCTTTAAACTTCAGGAACTGTAATGTTTTCAATTGAATTTTATTAAAAATTGAATTTCATTTTCTTACAATGAAGATAAATCTGGAATGAAAAATCCTTCTCCCCCAAGGGCACTATTAACTGGACTCTGAGTAGGGGCAGACCCCGACTTGGAGTGTGACTGAGATCTCAAAGTCACAATACCAATCCGTCAATAGTTTCTGAATATCTGTTCCATTTAAACCATTTTCATAAGCCCTAGGGAAAGCAAAGGCTCTGATTTTAGAGTGGTAACACTTACCTAATGTCAACTCCACACTCAGGAATTCAACAACCTGTGACACTCAGCTTTTCGATAATTAAGTCGATTGTAAGTGGAAAAATAGTAGAAGAGAAACTTCTTGTGTTTTCGGAAATAAATCAGTGGTAAAAAAGTACAGGAGAATAAAAGATAATCCAAAGTCTTGAGGAGTACATTTTTCATCATTACCATTAATTTGTAAAAGTCCTGGCCAGGCTCGGTGGCTCACCCTGTAATCCCAGCACTTTGGGAGACCAAGGTAAGTAGATTGCCTGAGCCAGCAAGTTCGAGACCAGCCCGGGCAACTTGGCAAGACCTCATCTCTACAATAAATCAAAAATTAGCTGGGCATGGTAGCACCTGCCTGTAGTTCCGGCTACTTGGAAGGCTGTGACGGAAGGATCACCGGAGCCCAGCAGGTCGACACTGGGGTGGCCGTGAGCATGCCACTGTACTCCAGTCTAAGCGACAGAATGAGACTCCAACTCAAAAAAAAAAAAATTGTGAAAGTCTTGACAGCAATATTATGTTTACACCAATGAGGCTAAGGTGGTCTGTTCTATTTACTATCTTTAAACTTATCAAAATGATGAATAATTATTTCCATCTATCAGGTAATGCTTCCGGAGTCCCATCCAGGGAAGGAACTGGGATTCCAGACAAGGATGAAGTTCTTCCCGTTGTCATACAACTAGCTGCAGGGCTGGGGGGCCGGACCCCAGCTCAGTTTCCAGGAGCAGGAAGACTGAGTGGTGCCCTCTGCTGCTCCTGCAGAGACGGTTAACCACAAATGGAATCAAAATACGAGAAAATTCCCTCAAGAAAAGATCAATGAGGTAATCAAGGGGAAAGTCATAGGAACAAAGCAGGAGCAAAGAGATGATTTTAGCTTGTGGGAACTTGAATATGAGATGTGACAACCACCTCAGAATTCTCTGCTTACACGAGCAAAAAACCGCTTCGCTAAAAGGATTTGGCTCCACCCGGAGGGTACAAGTAAATACTCCATTTGGGTGCTGATAATTCCTGACAAATCTCAACTCACTTCATTTGCACGTTTCAAAATGTAACAGTGATCTCGCTGCGTTTGGGATTTTAAAAGGAAAAGTCCACAACTGAGGATTTCAAAGGAAGTAGTAAGCATTCATAAAAAGTGTTTGCTATTTAAATCTTTTCATGAAAGGCAGCTGAAAACACAAGAAAGAACGTGACAAAATAAAGTGTCTTCACCCCCATCCACAGTTGATATAGTCCCACTTCCTTCCCTGGTTCAGGAGTTCTCAACTGTAGCTACACGTTAGAAATACCCAGAGGCCAGGTGCAGTGAGTGGCTCATGGTGAGAACCCCAGTGACTCGGGAGACTGAGGCAGGAGGATCACTTGAGTCCGGGAGTTCAAGGTTGCAGTGAGCTACAATCATACCACTGCACTCCAACATGGGCAACAGAGTGAGACCCTGTCTCTAAACACACACACACACACACACACAGCTTTTTATTTCATTTTCTGGGGGGTTGGAGTCTCACTCTGTCGCCCAGTATGGAGTGCAGTGGCTGCTCCCAGCCACCACAGCCTCAACCTGCTGGGCTCCGGCGATCCTTCCGCCTCAGCCTTCCAAGGAGCTGGAGCTACAGGTGCACAATACCATGCCCGGCTAATGTTTTTGATTTCTTGTAGAGATGGCCAAGTTACCCAGGCGGGTCTGAACCCGCGGGCTCAGGCAATCCACTCACCTCAGCCTCCCAAAGCGCGGGATTACAGGCTGAGCCACCGAGCCCGGCTGAGAGTATTTATTAACCTTGGGAACTTTACTGTGGAAGAACCTGGCGGATACCACCTGCATAGATCAAGGTTGGCACCCCTGGTCCTGAGACCTGGCAACGTCATGGACCACTTCATATGTGCATGGAGGAGGACACACCATCTCCTGGTAGTACTCTTGCCAAAGTGCATAATCTCATTCCAACTGTGTGAAAACATCAGACAGACCCAATCTCAGGGACATGCTCCAAAGTACCGGTCCTCTTGAAAAGCGTCAAGAACATGAGCGACAAAGAATTGTCATAGATTGGAGATTAGGAGAAACAGCAATTAAATCAAGTTGGAGAGCCTAGGCCGAAAAAGCATTTGTGGCAACACCGGTGAAATTCAAATTAGGTCTGTAGTTTAGTTAACAGTATTATACCAATGTTAATTCCTGTTTTTGTTGTTGTTGTTGTTATGCATTCTTCTTCTTATTAAACACAGATGGGGGTCTCACTAGGTTGCCCAGGCTGGTCCTGAACTCCTGGGCTTAAGCAATCCTCCTGCCTCAGCCTCCCAAAGTGCTAGGATTACAGGTGTGAGCCACCATGCCCAGCTTTAATTCCCTGGTTTTGATGTGTAAGAAGTTAACATTCGAGGAGGCTAGATGAGGAGCAGACGAAAACGATGTGCTACCTATGCAAGCTTTTTGCTGAATCTCAAATCAGTTCAAAATAAACATGCTCCTCCGGTTGCCTCTAATACTGCCTAAATTGGGGCCCATACTGCCATCCTGCATAGTCTGGGGGCTGTAGTTGTATTATTTGTGTTACTTTTCTTTCACTTCCAAAATCAGCGTGAATTATTATCACCAATAAATTTGGGAAATATCTTTAATCAAGGAAATATGTGTATAATGGTTTTACACACACACACACACACACACACACACACACACACACACACACACACAGGCTCTATATGGAGAGAAGCCCGGCAATCTTTAGCCCTGACTGCCACAGACTGGGTGCGCCTTTGAAAAAGTCACACTTTCTAGGTCTGAGTAAAGCCATCTGTAAAATGGAAGGGCAAAACAAAGTATAAGCCGGGCTCAGTGGCTCAGCCTGTAATCCCGCACCTTTGGGAGGCTGAGGTGAGTGGACTGCCTGAGCCCGCAGGTTCGAGACCCGCCTGGGCAACTTGGCGAGACCTCATTCATCTCTACAATAAATCAAAAAATCAGCTGGGCGTGGTAGCGGGCGCCTATAATCCCGGCTGCTCGAAGGCTGAGGCGGAAGGATCACCGGAGCCCAGCAGGTCGAGGCTGCGGTGGCCAGGAGCGGCCACTGCCCTCCAGTCTGGGCGACAGAGTGAGACTCCAACTCAAGAAACAAAACAAAACACATCTAGTGAAGTTATTAAATACACGTATGTCTTCCCTTTTTGGAATCACGATCCCATCTCTGTGCTCTAAAGATTTCAGAGTGTATGCAGGCCGAACAGGAGTCAGGCAACACCTTGCGTGGGTCCTGCCATCCCCTCCTTGACATGTGGAGAGCAAGTGGTCACACGGTCGCCTGAGACCTTCTGGAAGTACGGACCAAGCCAAGGACAGGCCGGGGAGTCCTGGCCCCAGTTCACAGCCTGGTAGCAAAGCCCCAGCGGGCTGCGCCCTGTGAGGACAGGCCCCTGGGGGCAACCCCTGGGCCCGCTTCGGCCTCCAGGCAGCCGCCGCTTGGGGGAGGCCGGCTCAGGACCCAGAAGCCAAGGTGCAGTGTCCGCCAAGGCAGTGGGGGAGGGAGGTGACCTTCTGCTGAAGTTTCAGGGGCATGCTCCCATCCGACAAACAACCAATGCGGTCGCGGGCTGCGTGGAAAAAGGCTTTTTAAAAAAACGCACCCTGGATGGAACTAGAGTCTATAATACAGAGTGATCACTCACAGAAACAACGATCTGAGCATCACATGTTCTCACTCATAAGTGGACCTTGAACAACTACCGTAAATACTATAAGAAACGGATCGACAGTGGCAGGAAACTGTGGGGGGGCAGGGAGGGGAAGGGAGGTGGGATGAACAGTAGTCGATATCTGTCTGACGGGGGGACACACCTCATCAACAAGGGTACCTGCACAATGCATATTTGTATACCTAACCTTAACTGTACCCCACAATTTTAAAATAAAAAATGTTTTTTAAAAAAAATCACACTCCCCAAATTACCTTTTCTTTCAAAGCTTTCCTCTCTGACAAAGCAAACGAGAGCCAGGAACTTGGTGACCTCTTTTAAATACAGAACTGTTGTATTATTCAGCTTGATAATGGCCGTGGACTCCTTGTCATAGGGGGTTCCTGCTCCATCTTCTTTGAGACTAAACGGGGACAGAAACCAACATGTATTTGACTACTGAGAAAGAACGACACATGGCAAGCCAGGGACAGGGGCCGGCTCGTAACACGCGCACCACGATCATGATGTGACATAAGGCGTGCCTTTCAGCAGGTCTCAGAAACACGCGGGCGTGAGAACACACAGTCCATGACTGTCACTTTCCTCCTGACACAGTGAATGGCTGTGGCGACAACTGGCCAGCTCTTCGGGCACCTGAGGAGACAGGTGAGGGACGCGCATAGCTCTTCCCCGCTCCGTGGCCAAAGGCTTCCAGTTTTCTCGCAATAGAATGGCCAGGCTTCAAAGCAGGGTCTGATGTGAGACCACCAAGGACTGAAGAACTGTTCCAAGTTAAAGGAGACATAGGGACTATGACAGTCCAATGCTGGACTGGACCCTGGATCGGGGAAAACACGGCTATAAAAGATAGAATTGCAGCCGGGCTCGGTGGCTCAGCCTGTCATCCCGTGCCTTTGGGAGGCTGAGGTGAGTGGATTGCCTGAGCCCGCGGTTCAAGACCCACCTGG